CACAAACTAAATACTATGTAGATAGAATAAAACACTGAATGAACTAACCAGGTACATGGCAAGCGCTATCACCTTCAGAGCACTCAAATTCTCTCCCAGCTTTGAGATTCTGACCCTTTACTGATGTCCTATGGCCAGGATGTATGTCAGCAAACAATTCTTAATCTTTGTGACCACAGTCTGGAAGTAGCAGCAATTTTAGGTGCTTTCTAGCACACTTTTAGCCGCAAGATGAACAAGCAAGCTCTGGTTAATATATATTCAATATTCATAACTATATGAGAAATCAAAAATGAAAGGAAATTATGCATCAAGACAGAGGATTTATTCAGCTGTCTAACTTGTCTAAAGAATCTCTGTACAAGCATCAAGTGTTAGAAACTTCTCCAATGACTGTCCTTGCTTAGGGTTTTGAAAAAGCTGCTTTTTACATACAGAATATCATGCAGGGAAGCCATACCAATGAGGACTAGCAAGCAACATCACAGAGTAATAGTTTTAATTTACCAAATCTGAGCAGGGCCAAGAAGGCATTTAGGGCCTCCAGATAGGACAGCTTACAGCTGTAAGAAGTCATTTTAGTCAGCTTTGTGAAACAAAGAGGAGAGAACCTTTTTCTGCTGCCAGTTCTCGTGTTCTTGCCAGGTTTCATAGTTGTCAGGATTTTGTCTCCAACTTCTGTAAGGCAGGTATATCCTGTTACACTCATTAATAAGGTTGCTTTGAAGACTCAGCCTCAAAAAAAGCCAAACAGAGCAATGCCATAGAAGTAACCAGCATTACTTTCTCCTTGGTCCCAAGCTAAAAGGTGACAGAAGTCATGTCCAGTTTACATGGAAAAATAAGAGATGGCAGTTGGGAGTCAATGACAGCTGTCCTACTGCAGAAGGGAGATTCCAATTCTTATGCTGCCACTCTTTAAAAGCTCCTGTGTTGAAACTGGGCTTTTTTTGGGAGGTGGCACTTTTTTTTTTTTTTTCTGATCGCTCCACAGATCTGCTGCTTCTTTATTTATTAAGAATAATGTCTGGTACTTGATTCATGACAATCCCTATTGACATTCCTGTTCCAAATATCAACACAGAGCAAATTCAATTCCTGTAAAGCCTGGTGAGTTCTATATCTCTTATATAGGTGCTCCCAGGTAGAAAATTTTGCTTGAGCTGTGTTCAGCCACACATGTACCATGCTGACAATGCTTTTCACTGGTGAGAAAAAGGCAACGGAGAAAGAAGACGAGTGTCTGACTGTATGGCTAACAAAATCATAACTACCTTAGAAGAGGAGAAGCAGCACTGACATTTCACTGATGTTAAATCAGCAGCAAAGTAGAATTATGTTCCTACTTATATTTTCTTAGGTCTACAGCACTGGCCCAGAAATGTCATGAGACCATGCAAGTTTTGTAAGAGAAATGGGGCTTTTTGTTGCTATTTGGCTTTTTACTCCAGTCTTTCAATACTCCTGATACCAGACAGAATGAGAGAGTACAAAAATAAAAGTAGCTGTGTGGGGAGAGGGAGACTGGGGAGATGACCAAAGTATCATAACCTTCAGAATAAGTTCGTGAGTTCTGAGTACATGTACATTTTATGTGGAAGATTTGGATCAGTTTTTACTTCATCCTTTTTCAAATTGAAGTTGGACAGTTTTGTAAGACACATGAGTTCATTCTGGGGACATGCACTGTGCTTCATAAAATTGTTTCTAATGATCCACAATTCCTGTTCTGGGTTCCTCTACAGAGCAAGCCCAAAGTTTTTATATTTGCCAAGTCTGTCAAGAGAGGATGACTCCACTGAATATTGGTGTAGAAATAGGTACTGCTTTCTGAAGAAAACTGATCTGTTACCACCACATTCATTTCCCTAAGGCCTCTGCCTTGAAAGGGCAGTTTGCAGAGCAACCCTTCACTACACCTTGTCCCTGATGTCCCATAGCATTTGAAACATTACAAAAGAAAACTAGAGTTGTTCATGGAAACCTCCCCGACATTTCAACAGCAGGGTTTGTGCTGCATTTGACCCTCTTTAATCATGCAGCTTGAATGGTTTTCTGGATTGAGGACTTTGATGCTCCATCTAGCAGAGCTTCAGGAAGATGATACACTTGTGACCTCCAAGTGGGTAGTTGCTTCATTGGTCAGCCCTCTGCATTCCCAAGTCATCATATAACTGCATTCAACATAGAGAAAATTATCTTTTAACTATTTCTAGTATTTCCTAACAGTTTAAACAACGTGCTCCTGTGAGCTCCTGAGTACTTTGGAGCACTGCTGCAAGGACTTCAGCTTCTTTCAGTAAAGAGCATAATCACATGCATCAACCTCTTTGATGAGCTGGAACTTGAGGGGATTCAACATCTTCCTGTTTAGGGCCCAATACACTCACACAGACAAAGTGAACCTTCCTCTTATCCTTCCTTTTGAAAGAGGTGGTGTGCATGTGAGGAGAATTTCATGGCTCATTACAATACCCTGTATGCCTGTAATAATACAACTACAATGAAAACTATTTTCTCAGCACAAATCAAGTTAAACATACAGAACATTTTTGCTCTGTCATGAAACCCTTTAGAAAAAAAAGTCATAGAATAGAATATTCTGAGTTGGAAGGATCATAGAATCCGACCCACAGAATCACAGAATATTCTGAATACAATTTCAGAGAGCACCATTTACTTAAAGCTTTTTTTGTAGTAATGAACATTTAAAGTAGCAATTTATAACATTTAGAGCTCTGGAAAAAAGCACTGCCCAGTTTCCAGTTCAGCCCCAGAGCAGTGCTGAGGTCAGGACTGAAGGTCCCAGTATTCCCAGAGCAGGAGGCCCTGTGCAAGCATAGTGCCGGGCAATCACAAAGATTGCTCCTAAAATAAAAAGCATGACAAACAGTAAACAGGCTGGAGGCAAACAGAATTTTGTATCAGTGTGCCTCCCTAGGGGCTGTGCCCCCCGCCCCAGCAGTGGTAGTGTCAAACAGCCAGGAGCTGGCAATGGCCAGCAGCTCTGCCAGTGCCACGGCCATATGAGTGATACGGCATCTGCCTGAGAAGCAACTTGTGTGAGCTAGAAGCAGAGGTTAAAGAAGAATAAATTACTGGTCCCAGGGATATTTTTAAGTGAGTCTTTCACATACCTGGAACTACAGTGTATACTGCTTTAGATTTTTGCGTGCTTATCTTCAATGCCACTGTTAAATGGCAGAGGGCATCACATTTTAGGGAACTTTTTTTCAGGATAGCACTCTTTGCTTTTTATCTTGGAGTACTTAAGTTGAGTCTACTGTAAAATATAGTTGTTAAATGAAATTGCCTCTTCCATAACTTTTCCAGAGTGATTTAAGTTTTCTCCTATAAAATTGAGGTTATAAATCTATCAGAATGATTGAATTATTTATAGCACTTTGGGACCACAACTTGACTCCATGTTTCGTACATCCATATGGTGACAGTGACTATGATATTTTGGAGAATTTTTATGTGGTAACAGGAAAACCTAAATTAGCAAAATTCTTGAAAAAATCATCGGTAAAGTCCATTATACTTTTACCTATCTTCTTACCTTTTCTCTGCTCAACCACTGAATAAATTCTGCAGGCTCTTTCCTAACTTGTTCTGTGTCACTGCAGAGCTTGGAAAATGAACATCTTCTTTCATATACTTTTAGATAAAGTTTTTGCTTAGAATTGTGTGAAGATTCAAAATGCTAAAATGGAATAAAAATAAATTTCTTTTTAGATGGACAATTTTGTACCAATCTGTGGCACATTGCATCCTGTGGGAAGGTAGTAAACAATGGAAGACCTTTTGTTTAAAGATTGTTTGTGTCTTTAAGCATATCTTATAACCCCTTTGAATACAGTACTTACATATTATGATTATAATACTTATTCACCATTATTTAATCTCTTATAAAATGTTCATGAACACACCTTCTTAATCAAGTTCACAGATAATTTTAAAATTTCTTTTAATGTTGTTGTCCCAGACAGCAAAGCCAGTCCAGGACCATGATGTCAGTAAATGAATTACTACCATAGGAAGTCAGCCAAGCAATCTCCAATATAGTAGATTATACACTACCAATGCTAAAGCACTAAGCAGTAATTTTCATAGGAGGCTGTCAAAATCAGGCACCACTGTAAGAACATTAACCTTGAATTATGTTTTTAATGTTAAGAAATAGGTAGGACTGCATTGCTGAGAAGCAATATCAATGCTTTTTCAGCTCAAAGTATTAATTCTGCCAAAAGTGGTTTTATTTTCTGTCTAGAGTATTGAAACATCCCATCTTGTCTCATATTGGTTTGAAAACTTTGCCTGGGTAGCACCTCTTGGCATCTACAGATCAGGTGTCTCTTGCCTTGTTCCCCACTGAGTCAAGCTCCCTAGTTAATTTTATCTCCCATAAGGGCATCCTGATTATGCAGTTCTCATGAAGGATTGTACTAGTGGTGAATAACTTTCTACTATTGTGTCCAATCCTATTTCAAATCTTTCAAGTTCTGGAATTGTCATCATTCCTTTGTGAGATCATTCCAAATCCACTCAAATTTGCTCATCAGTACTGCTGGTTTTCCTTTTCCTCAGCAGTTGTTTGCTTACTGTGCCCCTTAAATCACTCTTCCTTGTGTGTCCTTCTTTGGAGCATTATCTACTGCAATATTTTAATGAGAATAAATTTAAAGCATAATTCTACTTGTCTGTAGTATTGATATGAGATGTAGGCATGGAGAATCTGTGTACTCCAAAGGAAATTTTTCCTTTGCTCTGTGAATCCAGGTACCCATCAATAAAATGGAGACTGTTTTTTTTCACTCTCACAGGGAAATAGTGACCCTATTCACCTAAATGTTGGCAGAGTGATTAAATAATGCAGCAGCAGAAGCACGCACAGATTAGTACTGATCAAGTCAGTAGTAATATGTTTCATCCAAAAGGTGTCAACACATTTAATTTCCCTCTTTTTTTTTCCTCTTCCTTTTTCTGTTCTTTTCAAGATGTTGGAGCATTTTTTGAAGAAGGAATGTGGCTTCGTTACAACTTCCACTCCCCAGGAACTAGCATGAAGGATTTAGTTAGCCGGACACTTTTGAGTTCTACAGATCCTGAGATCACAGCACCTGACCTCAACTTGAATAAAGAAGAGCTCAGCTTCAGCTTCAGTACCACCAAGTCCCCTTGTGTCTTATTGTACATCAGCTCCTATACCCAGGACTTCATGGCTGTGCTTGTGAAGCCAGCTGGTAAGCAACTGCTCCAGGCTCTCTCCATTGTACAGTTGATAATACTAAGCTGACATTCAGCTGAAGCTCTGAACAACTTCTCTTCACCCTTGTCATGAAAAAATAAAGCACTTAGAAATCTGAACCTGTATCCTGCTTGTACTGGATTTTGCCACAGACCAGCATTATGAAGGGAACAAGTAGGCACCCGAATGGCTGAACTCATGGCAATATCACTAGTGGTCAATGAAAAGGGTCATGTACTGTCCTTCTGAAAATCTGGATACTCACTGAGGTGGCTGAAATATGGATGTAACATAGCATATAATGTCCTAAATGTTTTGGTGATGGTTGAGGGTTGGATATAGACCATTTGCTGCTACAGTATTAAAACTGTATATAAACTGAATATACTTCAATTCCAAATAGTGCCTTAGAGCCCCATGAAAATCATAATTAGTGTGATTTTACTACTGTTCTCTTTTATGGGATAATATGAGTATTCCACATGCCACTCATATTTTTCCTTTCATGGGGAAGACAGAAGGTGCATAAGAGAAATCCAACATCAGACAACTTAACTATAGTTAGAAAGGTCTAGGGCTGCTCTTTTGGGCCAGAATATTTCCATTTTTCATCTATAATGGGATCTGCCCTTCCCTTTTCAAACATTCTTCCTTTTAATCAAATATTAAAATGTGTTATGAAGAGCAGACGCTTCCCTTTTGTTTAGAAAAGAAAAATCTGTCTGGCAGTATGTCATGAATATCAATTAATCACTTTTGACTATATTTTTCTAACAATATAACATGACATTTTCATTTCACCATATATTATTAAATTTCCATAAAAGTCCAGACGGTCACCCATCAAAAAGAATTAAATGACAGAGCAAGATAGTCCCTTGTGTAGATTATGTGTCAGTGTTAATTTGTTGTAATTTTGCCTTTATTCAATGCATGTCAATGGTTTATTCTTTAGAAAATATTATGCTTTTTATAATTTCAAAGAATTTTACTGCAGCAAGTATAATCTCAACAATAAAGTGCTGCTGGATGAGCTCAGTTTTGTACCAATTGTCCATATTGTTCAAGGAATAGCTCTGATTTGTTTGGTTTGCAGTCTGGAGTGTTTACAAACACTTTGGTTTGGAGGTGCTGGTCATTGTCACACTTCTGGGTTATAAACTAGAGGCAGTTTCAGCCCAGTAACTTTATAATCTCAAACACCAGCTCTTCTCTCACTGCAGAGATCAGCTAAGAGAGCAATTAAATGTGAAATGATAACAACTCTGTGTGAAAATAAAGAGGGGGAAATAACTGCTGAATAAAGATCAAAATACCTGAGGGTGCTTTTCACATTTTTCTTTCACTAGGGAACCTGCAGATTCGGTACAGCCTCGGAGGCACCAAAGAGCCATATAACATTGACATTGACCACAGAAACATGGCTAATGGGCAGCCCCACACTGTCAACATCACGCGGAATGGACGGGACATCGTACTGCAGGTAAGTTGCAGGTTGTTTGGTTCCATTACTTGTAATTCGTAGCATTTTGTCTCTTGGTGGTCTCCATTACCCTGAAAAGACCAGTGCAATTTAGAAAATAAAAAGTGCAGTAGATGGGATTCTACTTGCAGATCACACTCCTAGGAGTTAACAAAAGCTATTCTTTCCCTCTGTTGCATCGTCATGTTGTTCTGAATTCCTCATTTTAGTGTGATGACAGCTGGGCTAATACAGGTGTCACTGTAGATGCTGAAGGGCATCAGAAACATCTGGGCTGATAGATAACATGGGACTTAGGACAAACCTGTACCTTTCCAGAGCAGCAGCTGGAAGCCAGGAGGGATATCCTACAGCATCTTAAATGGCAGTGGAGCCTAATGCAACTAAATATCATTCCATAAGTCCTGAGTCTGCAAATGAAACTGTCTTTAAATTTAAATTCACCCTGCAGTCCAGTGAAATTGCAAGAGCTGTTCTGCAAAGATGAGCAGATGCTTAAGTGTTTGTGTGACAGGAGTCTGGGACAGAGAGTATTATTGAAGACACATAGCTCTTGCTTATTTAGGTTTTGGTACACCACAGGTAGAAATTTCATCTCTCCATATCTCAGTTTACAAATCTTTGAGATGGTATAATACTAAATAAATAACTGAGGGGAGCGCTGCAAGAAGCAATCAATGTTTCCAGGCAGCTTCTTCTGTGCGGTCATTACAGAGCTCTCTTTTCATTCCCTGCTTGTCACATCCGCAAATATGGAGATTGCAAGCAGTTTTGTTGTCAGGAGAGTCAGGTGGATGGGACAGATTAATCCGGATTTGTTACTCACAAGAAGCAAACCAAAACCAATAACAAATTAAATATAAAAAGGGGAAGTCTCCCTGGGAACCAAGCCAAAAGTTGAAGAAGAGTAGCCATCACAGTATTATCTACCTAGAGATTAAAATAAATCCCTGACAGTTATTGTTTCAAGGTATGAAAAGGAAACTTTTCAGTTTATTACAGTGTTATTTGACTGAGGCTGTCATTACTCAGAATAACACTGAATGCATTGAAATAGAATTGTCACAAAATTATTCACAAAATGTCGAATAACCTAAAAAAAATGTAGGTGATACATCCAAACTCACTTCAGGTTTTTTGAGGTTGGGAGAGGTATATATTGATATATGTGTCTCTCTTGCATGCTATTGCATGTTTTTATTTCACAGCTAAATGGAAGCTAAAGAAGACCTACAATTAGGTTCCCCTCTGGTGTTAAATGTTTCTATTTCCAGGAAGTATGGTATGTTTCCTATGGAGTCATAGCTGGCTGATTTAGGCAACTGTAAAACTAAATAAATTATTTTTTGAAGGGATCAGATGAGGTTACCTTGTCCAGTTAGAAAATATGTACACAGTTACATGTGCCAGCCTTGTATCAATTCACCTACATTTGATTCCCAACAATTTTTTTTCCCAGTGTTTTGTGAGACTATTATCTATCTAGGGCTTTGAAGAGTCAGAAACATTTTGGTTAGTCTTGCTGTGCTGAGGTAAAAATTTTTTGATCTATTTAGTGTGCATAAAACACAGCTTATTTATGTAAACAGAAAGCAGAAACATTTGAGGCTTATTAAATGAAATGATCTGTGTGATGTACATGCAAGAATAGGGGAAGAAGCGACCCATACAAAGCAAATCCAGAAATCCTACCACTACTGTGTCCTGAAAGACAAAATTTCTGTCAAATTTTGTTTATTCTTCATAAGTTGATTTTGTTACTTATCAGGTTACATTCTTTAAAGGAGAGAATTTATGTGAACAGAAATGGATCTGTCAAGTAGATTGTTCACTTGAAAATGAGACCTGTTTTTAGATAGAAACTCTTCGTGGTGTCTAAAAATACAAAAGATATAAATAGAGTTTTTCTCAGTATCCAGAGGACAAATCATAAAATATGAGTTTTCTCTTACAGATCTGAGCAAGAAACATTTGAGCAGACTTTTATTTCTTGCTAAATCCTTCTCCAACCTGATGAGCAGCTGGTTTGCTTGTTTTTAAAGAAGACAGCTTGCTTGCCAGGTGCTGTTGCTCACACTTCCACATCTCTACGTCGCATAAAAGTGTCACAAGGAGGATTTATTTCTCATCAAAGCTTCAATTCAAGAGCACTCAGTATTTCTGAGATCTTAACAATGAGTTCATACTTAGAATACCTGTCTTTCTAACTTACTGTAATAACCCTGTAGTGCCAGAGAGATTTAAAAAATCTGAAGACAGGCAATAAATTGCTACCATATGAACTGTGTGAACCAGAGTTGTATCATGATTCTCAGGAGTTTCAGTTATGTATGAATACAGAAAAAGTCTCATTTATGAACTCTATGAGACCTCATCTGATGCTGGCAGACAGGAGACCAGTGATTAGATAAAATCATAATTTGACTTGGGCTTTGAAATCAACATATCCACAATATTGTATGTCCATAAGATCACGAACAAGTACAAGAATATTTACTGTGAATGGTTTTTATTATCATTACATCCCTAACATACCATGACAGTCAGGACTAAAGATAGTAGCAAAAACTGTCAAATGGCTTTTATATTTCAATTTTATACATTCACTGACTATAGACAAATCAATAATTAGTTCTACGTTAAATAACAAGTTCTCATTTATGATGATATTATGATAAGATTAAGGATATACGTCTGATTTAGGTGTCAGGAAAACTACATTATGTAAATTCAGGGACAAAGATATGCTTATTTTCTGTTGTTTCCATGAGGTGGACAAAATCAGTATTTGCTATTAACAATTCCTATCCCTTGCCTCTAGTAAAATATCAGATACTAGTAACTATGGCACACCTCCAAGGCTGCGTTAGCTCACCTGTGGCAAGAAAAAGCCCAGACTGACAGATGGGGAATGCATTATTCCAGTAAATTACATTTCAGGGGCTGAGCTTTAGGTTATGGAGGGCAAGTTTTACTTTGTTTGACTTCATTAAAAGGTTTCATGCTTCAGCAGGGTATTTTCCATATCATAAAAACCAGATCACTCTTTAGCAAGTATTCATGGGTGATTAACACTATTCACACACCAGTAAAATCTTCTTTTAAGAAAGCCAAGGACAAAGGCTCCCTAGCAGAAGTTCTGATCCAAAGCCCATTGAAGTAATTGAAAGGCCTTCCATTGACTCCAGCGGGCTTTAAATTGTACCTTAAAGAAATGTGATAATTGCATCCCTAGGGCAAGGTTCATACCCTCTGCTTCTGTGCACGTCCCCAAAGTAAAATCAGAGTGGAATCTGGATCAGAGAGTTTTCTGTTCTGTTGCACACAGCTAGATCAGCCTGTTACAAAACAAACAAACAAACAAAAAACCACAACTCCCCCCCCCCAAAAAAAAGTATACAATGTCCTTTAATTTTCAGTGGAATAAAGTTCATAGTCAGCAGAGAGACTGGGCCTCTCAGCTTCCGCACTTTCACATTCTCAACAGGCCTACAGTTCTCCATCCCTGTTTTAAAGTAATTTCTATTAGTGGGTTATGAGTCACAGTTTATAATGCCTTCTTTTTTCCTAAAAAGGACTATGTCTGAGTGATCTCTTCAGGACTCTGGTGTCCCAAACCCATCCATATACTTTCAGGACAACTATCAGTAGCCATTGCACATCTGCTCATAAGATCACACAGAAGGACAGCTGACAGTTCTCTCTTTCAGGCGTGGACAATATGTCCAACTGTGGCAAAGAAGCTACACACAAGAATGTTCCTTGCTGACTCTACTCAAAGTGAGCTGAATTATGAGGCTTTATGGAAATCTTGACCTGAACTCAGCCGTTCATAAGGTTGAGAATAATCTAGAAAATGTATTTGTACAGATCTCCATTTTCCAGCTTCAACAGAGGCAAGCAGCAGAAACCCATCTTTGTGAAAAATGATCAATGAAATATTTGACCCTCACCCAATGGAAATCAAGAATAAACAGAAAAAACAGTCCTTTCTCTCATTTCCATTTTGAACTTTGCACAACTTGAAAAGAGGTAACAATTGCAAACTCCTAGATGCTTTAAAAATGTAAATCATACAAAGTTAATTCAAAACTAATCTGAAGTAGAAAATAAAATGGTAAACATAATAGCTGTAAAATAAAATGAGTGAAGTGGAGCAAAGCAGTCTGCATATAATCCCCATCTTAAATGCAATGAATATATCAGAGATTTTTATAATTGTAGATTAAATGTTGGTCTTATTAAAGGGAGTGGGGACTTTCTTATAGACTTCAGTGAGGCTATAATTTCATCTCCTATCGTTATTGGTGCTGTAGAATCATGCCTAACTATCATGATTTCTCGAAGATTAATCTTCGTTCGCCTAGCCATGATGATCATGATTCCTGTATTTTGAAGCCCCAACAGAATATGAGCACTGTTTGAGCTCTTGCTTAACTGAGACCATAAAAAATCACCAAATTATTTTCTGCAGCCAAGCCAAAAAGTAATCATAGCAGTATAACACATTTTATCTAGCTTTAAAGACTTCAAATGATAGAAAATTTACCATATCCTTTGGCCACGGGTTCCAGTGGCACTTAAGCCAGTACTTAAGTACCTTTCCTTTAAATAATTTACACCTAATTTACAGTTTGAATTCTGCAGACTTCAACATTTAACTCCCTGTCTATGCTTGATAGATGAAAGAAGTGTCAGGTGTCACTCCCCTTCACACTTTGTTAGAGATGCTGATTAAAATATCTTTTCATCTTGTCTGCAAGAAGCTAAATAAATTGAACTATTTTAGTATACCATCAGATGTCTATAGTTTTTGAGCCATAAAACAATTTTTTAACTCTTTTCTGAAAACTCCCCCTTTGAGTCACATTCTGAAAACATTTACCCTTGGTAATGGTTGTTATGCCAAAATTATGTAGAAATACCATCTTTATTTCTTTCCTTCATTTTCTGGGAAACCTGCTGCCTCATCATTCTTTGGGCAGTGCTGTAAATTGTCT